GGTCACAGAGGGGCTGCAGCCTATCGTCTGTCTACCTGAGTACAATTATTGTGTAATCTCTTTCTCTCCTTCCACATAGATTGCCTATTTTCTTCCTAGTACATGAACACAGTCTGTTGCTATTAAATGCTTTTCAGACAAGTGTTCAGGATACAATTTCACCACAGACAAGTGGAAAATAAACAAAAGTAATGGAGAGAGCAGATTGCTGATGCAGCTTAAACGAAGACCTACAAACAGGCTCTCTACAAAACTGAAGTGAGACTCAGCAAAGAGGTGTAAAGATAGCAAGTGTTTTGGGAATAAAAACAATAACACTCCTATTGTACCTAATTTACAGTGCATGCTCTCCCACTTAAGCAAAAGCTCAAAATAAATGGAACATTAAAAGGCAAGTTCTCATGAGCTTCAACTAGATACTGTAATTATGCCTTGGCTCAAATCTCCATTAGATTATCATGAATATGTACTTGTGCATTTGCTTTACCATGCAATGGTCAAGGGCCATCTTTTATTAATCACTAGAGATACACCATCTCCATCAACCCTGCAAGAAACTAAGTGTAGCTAACTACTTTATTGTGAGCAGCAGATGAGTAATCTACTAATGCAGGCATGCTAAAAAAAAAAAAAAAACAATCATATAAGAGCAGATGACATTGGAAAGGTAATTAGCATAATTGTCTTTAAGCATCAAAGGAGTGTGAAAGCCTATTTCAGAATGGAATATTCTTTCCGACTTCTAGCTGCTAATTATTCCCATAAAGAAAACTGCATTTTCCAAAATAATCTACTCAAACAAAACATCTGCAGATCATTTGGAAACACAAAGGGTCTAAAAGACGCAAAGCACCTTGCAAGAAGAATTTAAAAAAAATTAAGTAAGCAGGAAAAAATACCTCCCCTTTTCCTTAATGCAGTATTGTTTTTAAAGGCCATGGAGAAATGCCAAAATCACTGTTTTATGGTCCTAAGTAGTTTAGAGAGTGGTTTTGCTGACATATAGTATTAAAGAAAGACAATGCAAAATGGAAGAAAAATGATGAGATTCCACTAACTAGCCAGTTTTACATCATGTTACAATCAGAGTTTGCCCCATTAGTTTAAAGCTCCCTCCATCTGGAATTTGATATTATACACAGGTTTCTGTTGACCCACAACTTAGATTAAGTGGGAGCAATGAAACAGGGGTCAAAAGGATCCTGAAAAACGTTGCACAAGAATTAAAATTAATTGATGGGCAGAATCAGGACATGCAACTTAAGTGATGACAAACGTATCCCCTCTCTTTCCACTGAACGCCACCTGGTGATCTTTTCCTTCAATATTTATAAATGTATAAATACTGTATATCCAAACCTAAAAGCTTCCATATAACAACACAATGCAATCATGGACAGTAACTTTAAGGGAATCTAAATGAGATTCAAATGTGTCTTTCTCTTTAAGATATTAATCATAAAAATTCCTAGTAAGGTCAATTCTATAAAGAAAAATCTAATCTGTGTATCCCTGTAAAATGATGTTTGAGTGAAATAGAAGAACTCAATTCCTAGGCTGGGTTTTCACTTGAAAATCTTTCTCCGTTCTGTTTCTAACCTTTAAAGCTGCCATTTTTTTTGTTTTTCATTGTTATCTAATACACAAAAATTTCTGAATTGTCCTATAAAGTTCAGTTATATCTATATAAATACAGAAAAAACATTTGCATATATGCTAAAAATAAAATATAACTTTGAAGATTAAACTGTCGAATTGTACTGTTTGGGCAACGTAACGGATCATAGCTTCTTCTTCGCATGTGGAGGCGCATTGATTTCTGGAAACAGTATTCCACAGGCAAAGCACTTATCTGAAAAGAATTGAAATAAATACACCATCAGATGCCATTTAGTTGCGCCTGCAATGTTGTGTATCAGTAACTCAATTCTGCTGCCTCCTAATTACATCTGGCCCAGACTCTCTTCTTAAATGCATGCTGATTGGCAAAGTAGGTGGCAGATCATTGTCACGAATTGTATACACTTGGGTCTTCAAGACTTAAAGGATGATATTGATTAGTGCTTGTTGACATTCACACACAGGAAAAAAAATAATTGGTTCAGCAGATTATCGTACCTTTAGTTCATTTCCTTGACACAAAGAAGGTGTGACTTCTGACTGTGGTTTTAAATTTAGCTTTTCTTCATGATGAACTGACACCATCTAAATTACCATTTAACATGCTATGTGGTGCAATTTAAAAGCTGACATGCGGATGATCGCTAGCTGATTAGTAAAATTAAGTTGCTTAGTTATAGTTCCACTTACCAGCATAAATGAAAGCTGCATATTATCTATGATTTCCACATACCATGACATATCTAACATTCACAAACAGATTGGGATGTATTTCCATTACAGTTTTAAACTAAAATTTCTGTTTTAACGTTGATATTCATAAGGACTGATTTACTAAAGGCAAACAGGCTGTTCATTTTTCCAAGGAATTTTTCCTTAGCTTAAAGTGATATTAAAGGCTTGGGTTTTTTAAAATATCAAATGTCATACTTACCTGCTCTATGCAATGATTTTTCACAGAGCAGCCCCAATCATCCTCTTCTTTGGTCCCCCGTCAGGGCCCCTGGCCCCTCCCCCATGCTGAGAGCAAGCCATTTGCTCTGGGGCACATCTGCGTGCTCGCTCCCGTGTTTATAAGATACACGAAGAGCAGCTAAGCCCCATCCCCTGCTCGATCCTCACTGGCTGTGGTTGACAGCAGTGGGGGCAAATGGTTCCCACTGCTGTATCTCAACCAATGAGGAGAGAGGAACCCAGGAAAGCTGAGACTCCCGTGCACAGCGTGGATCGAGCTCTTGGGCTAGGTAAGTATTAAGGGGGGCTGTGGGGGGAGCAGCACATAGAAGGTTTTGCATGAAGGTAAAAAACCTTCAGCTTTTACAACCACTTTAATGAATAAGGTGAAGATCTGCTGACCGCTATCAACCAATCATGTGTAAGCAAAAATACAGCTATGGTTCCCCTTAAAAATGGGTGGTGCTAGGTGTGCCTTTAGGAACAAAAGTATGTATGATGATGCCCATAGAAAAACCATTTAGGGACCTCCTTCCTCCATAATCTCCTACTTAAGGTCCTATTCACATTTACATATATGTGGTGCATTGATGGTGTGGCACATTGAAAAAATGTCTTTAGTGCACCTTTGATGCCAAAGCATATATTGCATTGGCAATTAATTGAAAAATGTACCATGAATATACAATGTTGCATGCCTAAAATATGCAACAGTACACTCCTGTTCACATTTTGAGCACAATGCATTGTATACAGACATATTTATTAATACATAATGGCAATTATTTTCCTAGAAATTTCAAAGAGGTTCCAAAACAATATATACATTCATTTTATCCAAATGTATTTTACACATTCTGTTCATAAATTCACTTGTGGCTAGATAGCTCTGGGTCCTCTGTAAAAAGCAGTTGCATGGTCTTCTATGGTTATAGGTATGCCCTTGTGAGTCCTTGGCTGGTCTCCTGCCTCTTCCATCATTTTAATTACTGATCATGCTTTGGTGATACAAACACCATACGTGCTAATGTTACTAAAGTCCGATGAAAGATCATGGTATAGCACTTCCACATGTTTGACTACCTAATATCTATGTCTTGGCTTAGAGCTGGAAAAAACTGCGCAACTATTGACTGTCATCTATTGATATGTAGTCTCAGGCTCCATTCACATCTGGGTGAAGCAGAAACATGTAAAGAATGCACTAAAAAGTACAAATCACTTGCGGTACCATTTTTTCTTAATGATATCCCAAATTTGGGTAGTAGTCATGCGTTTTACCACGCAACAAAATCTGCAAAAACACCTATCACAAAATGCTCTTGACTCAGTGCCAAGATTTGGTACGTGAGCTTCTTCAGCACATTTGTGAAGGAGACGGAAGCCCATTCAAATGAATAGTTCTGTTCCAAAAGTGCACTATAAAAAACAGCAAAAAAAGTGCTAAAAACATGACATGGCAGTGTCACTCAGATGTGAAGGGGGCCACAGGGTTGACAAGTTATGAGACCAGAGAGTGTATAGACATTTATATATTTATAATTATATAAAGGAGGATAATGTGATCTAGATTAATGTTCAGTTCTACTACATATCTAATTATCCCATCAGAATGGATGGGTGGCACTGATCTGTCACTCAGCTCAGAATGTGTAGTCATATGTGAGCTGTTTAAAGACTGTAATGATTTTAGCCGATCACTTTTTGAACTTAATGTGGGTATGTTTAACGCATATAATTAAGCTGAATTTCATTTCATTCCACAACAGTAAAATCATTTTGTATATGCAGTAAAGCATGTTTGTTATACTCACTGTGGAACCTAAGGGGTTAATCCTCTGCATTGTGTAAAACCGCTTTTGATCCTGACTTCTCTGATCCTCCCCTTCTTCCAGTGTCCCTCTCTTATCTCCTGATAAGACATATCGTGTGGAGTCACTCTGCACATGCTCAGTTTGGTGTATATTGCTAGAGAGGTTTTTTTTTTTTTTTTTTTCTTGGGAGAGTGCATGTGATCAGCACAGGGCCAATCAGCAGTGTCCAGACAGATGTCAGGGGTTCTGCATCCTCATAGAGCAGAATGAAAACTCTTCCTACAAGCTTTAGCATGTACTCGACTGGACACTGATATGTCACAAGACTGCTGTAACTGCTCATGAGAAAAGGTATTTACCCATTTGTATTTACTAGAATAATTGCATTTCCATGTTCTGTGTACTGTGGGAGAACCAGATAAAGGGAATGCGGGGTCCCGGGTTTAATACCACTTTAAATGCCACAGTTAGTAGTAAAGCAGATGTTTTATATATATATATATATATATATATATATATCTCAGGGGCGGACTGACCATTTGGAAACTCGGGCACTGCCCGAGGGCCCGGGGTCAGTAGGGGGCCCCATGAGGTGCCCTTGGTACCTTTTTCATAGGCTTTTTTGAGTTTGGGCAAGGACACAGGGGCCCCATGATCCCCTATTGCCCGGGGGCCCCATGGGTTGTCAGTCTGCCCCTGATATATATATATGTATATATTTATATATATATTCTTATGTGTCTCCTAGATTGTAAGCTCGAAAGAGCAGGGCCCTCGATCCCCTCATGTTTTGCATTGTATTGGTATTGTTCTGTCACATGTTCTTTCCCCCTTTGTAATGTACAGCGCTGAGCGAACTATTGGCGCTTTATAAATACTGTATAATAATAATAATAATAATAATAATAATAATGTGCTATTGTCTTTATCAGTGTATGTTAGCAGAGTATGTTATTTTATGTGTTTATGCTGTAAAGCAATCCTAAGGGCTGGTAGCTTGAATTAGTAGCCCATAGAGATTCAGTACTAGCATTTTTGTATTTATTTATTTTTTTAAGTCTGTTCACCTTTAAAGGCTAAAGGTGTAAAACCGCTTTTGATCCTGACTTCTCTGATCCTCCCCTTCTTCCAGTGTCCCTCTCTTATCTCCTGATAAGACATATCGTGTGGAGTCACTCTGAACATGCTCAGTTTGGTGTGTATTGCTAGAGAGGTTTTTTTTTTTTTTTCTTGGGAGAGTGCATGTGATCAGCACAGGGCCAATCAGCAGTGTCCAGACAGATGCCAGGGGTTCTGCATCCTCATAGAGCAGAATGAAAACTCTTCCTACAAGCTTTAGCATGTACTCGACTGGACACTGATATGTCACAAGACTGCTGTAACTGCTGATGAGAAAAGGTATTTAGCCATTTGTATTTACTAAAATAATTGCATTTCCATGTTCTGTGTACTGTGGGAGAACCAGATAAAGTGAATGCGGGGTCCTGGGTTTAATAACACTTTAAATGCCACAGTTAGTAGTAAAGCAGATGTTTTTATATATATATATATATATATATATATATATATATATCAGGGGCAGACTGACCATTTGGAAACTCGGGCACTGCCCGAGGGCCCGGGGTCAGTAGGGGGCCCCATGAGATGCCCTTGGTACCTTTTCCATAGGCTTTTTTGAGTTTGGGCAAGGACACAGGGGCCCCATGATCCCCTATTGCCCGGGGGCCCCATGGGTTGTCAATCTGCCCCTGATATATATATATATATATATATATATATACACATATATTCTTATGTGTCTCCTAGATTGAGAGCTCGAAAGAGCAGGGCCCTCGATCCCCTCATGTTTTGCATTGTATTGGTATTGTTCTGTCACATCTTCTGTCCCCCTTTGTAATGTACAGCGCTGAGCAAACCATTGGCGCTTTATAAATATTGTATAATAATAATAATAATAATAATGTGCTATTGTCTTTATCAGTGTATGTTAGCAGAGTATGTTATTTTATGTGTTTATGCTGTAAAGCAATCCTAAGGGCTGGTAGCTTTAACTAGTAGCCCATAGAGATTCAGTACTAGCATTTTTTTATTTATTTATTTATTTTTTTAAGTCTGTTCACCTTTAAAGGCTAAGGTGTAAAACCGCTTTTGATCCTGACTTCTCTGATCCTCCCCTTCTTCCAGTGTCCCTCTCTTATCTCCTGATAAGACATATCGTGTGGAGTCACTCTGAACATGCTCAGTTTGGTGTGTATTGCTAGAGCATTGGAGCCCCCTTGACTGCTGTAAATGCGGGGTCCTGGGAGCATAAACAATGCCACAGTTAGTAGCGATCCTAAAGCAGAATGAATATATATTATAATAATTATAACTGATAAAATACTGCATATTGTATAATAATATATCATGTTCTGTGGGCAGTGGTTAATAACACCGAGGGCCCGGGGCAGATGTTTTCAGTATAATATATATTTATTTTATGTGATTGTATGAATGCCCTTTTTTGAGTTTGTGCAAAGTTTGGGCAAGGACACAGCCCCTATTGCCCGGGGGCCCCATGGGTTGTCAATCTGCCCCTATTATATATATATATATTTATATATATATATACATATATTCTTATGTGTCTCCTAGATTGTAAGCTCGAAAGAGCAGGGCCCTCGATCCCCTCATGTTTTGCATTGTATTGGTATTGTTCTGTCACATCTTCTGTCCCCCTTTGTAATGTACAGCGCTGAGCAAACCATTGGCGCTTTATAAATATTGTATAATAATAATAATAATGTGCTATTGTCTTTATCAGTGTATGTTAGCAGAGTATGTTATTTTATGTGTTTATGCTGTAAAGCAATCCTAAGGGCTGGTAGCTTTAACTAGTAGCCCATAGAGATTCAGTACTAGCATTTTTTATTTATTTATTTATTTATTTTAAGTCTGTTCACCTTTAAAGGCTAAGTTCAAATGATTGATTTTATAGGTAAAAATGTGCATTTATTAATTTTTACACTGTAGTCTGTAAAGCATTGCACCTGTGATTAGCAGATCGCGGGTGCAATGTCAGGATCCTGCAAACACTCAGTAAAGCTGTCTGATTGTACCTCCTGTACAGGCAAACAGTTACTGAACTGAAGAAAAAATCAATGAACTACAAGAGCACCTGCATGTTCCCTCAGTAGTTCATTGAGAACTACAGGTCATCTGCCGTGGTGGTAGACAGTCAGAGCCGTGCATAAGGGGATACCACCAGTCCACCTGTATGGGCCCAGGCCAGCAGGGGTCTCAGGCTGGGTGAAGCAGTTGTGAGCAGGGAGGGTGATCTGCACGGGGGGGGGCGGCAATTACTGGAACCGATCCCCTGTATGGTTCTCCCTGCAGCAGCTGAAAGCTGACTTCACTCTCTCCTGCTGGCTTTCAGCTGCTACAAAAAGAGCTATACAGGGGATCAGTTCCAGTAATTGTTCCCCTCGCCGCACTCATCTTCCTCCCTGTGCACCATATGTTCCCCCTGTGTGCCCCCACCCCCACAGTGCCGTCAGCTTCCCCCCGCTCTATCCCACCGGCAGCTGCAAGCACACCCTTCCTTTTCTGAATGAACACAATGAATAATCAGTACCAATCACTCACAGTGTTTATTTATAACTGAAGCATAGTAAACTGTTTTTTTTTTTTGGGGGGGGAGGGGGCACGTTAGGTTGGCTGCATGGGGCCCCGTGGTTTCCAACAGCAGCCCTGTAGACAGTACTTGTAGTTCATTCACAGCACTCTGTGACTGAATGATGTGGCTTTGTGGGCAGAACCCAGCACAGTCACACTATTTCTTAATTGTGACAGCCGGAGTGGGGAGAAGATCCCCACCTACTGTAATGAGGGGATTTCGGGGGTGTGGGCAGATGCTTTATAGTAAAATGTTACGTGTTACACCTTTAAATAAGGGTGTAACATGTAACATGTTTCAAAAGGTTGACCTATCATCTAAGGCCCTGACTAAGTGCTTGTGTACATAGGTGTTCTTCACCTGCATTTGATGTGAGTTGGAAATGTATATCATACATAAGTCAGCAAATTCCCAATTTCCTCAATTGTACCAACTGTACCTTGTGAAACTGAGTTTGACCTGCTTTGCATTGTAGTGCATTCCTCTGAATGTAGCATGTCCTATTATAAATGCATTCGCATTGCAGGCAAAGCAGCTGAAATGCAGTCTTTTGTGGTAAAACACATGTGTTTGAGCTGCACTGTTTTGAAATGTAAAAGCCTGCATTTGACAGCAATGCCTTCCACCCTTGACTTCTATTATCCAGTTATGTGCAAGTAAAAATGCAGATTTTTAAAAACATTTGCTTTTCATTGAGTATTCTTGAGAGAGTGAGACTATACCACATTCACTAAGTTTTTGGGACAATTTTCCTTGTAAAGTGCAACTTCCCTTGCAAAGTGAACAGTCTCTTTGCCTATAGTAAATCAAATCTATTGTGTATGATTGTAATAGAGAGTGGCAAAGTGAACATTTACTGAGCTTATTAGGTTGAAACTGTGTTCACTTCAGTCATCCAATCATGTTACAGCAAACTCATGTTTTTTTTCTCTTGTACGTGGTTGGATATTCAAAAGTTCACCTTATTCATTAGGCTAAGTAAAGATTCACTTTGCAAACTGATTAACACTTTTCCAAGTGAACAGTCTCTATTATTTCAAACCTAAATACCTACATTTTAGGAAGGATCAGCAAAGCAGAACTATTTTGTAGCACTACAAAGCAGAGTCTCCATAGGCAATGTACAATATAGTTGCTTCAATTTACATATTTAATTACAGACTTTACATAGAAACATGTTTTTTTTTTTTTTAAGTTTACACACATTGATGATATGTTTTGTATCAACTGATCATTATTACACATGTACCTAAAAACACATTAATATGACTATACATTCCCTCTAATACATATTAACCTCTACACTACCCTGTACTAAGCGTACCCATTTCTGTTTATTTTGCAACATATACTGCTTTTCTTTCTTGTCTGGACTACTTTGGGCAATTAGACCTAACTTAAGAGCTATGGACATGCACCAAGCTGACAAATTTCTTTGTGTTTTAGAAAGGTTATATTTCTATGCAAAAGAAAGAGCAACTGAAGTAAGCTCTGTGTTAAAATTATTATTTAGTTTTGTATTCTGCTAGCTTGAACAGCAGGGTCAGTTTCTTCTTTGCATGTTGTCATAGGAGTATGTTGCTTAGAAACTATGATATATGAGGATTAAAACATCCCTTACTGTGAAATGGTAGGATATTAGGATTTACAAGGCAGATACACTGTATATCTCCGAGTAGAGTAATGCCAAAGCTGCATTAGTGAGGTGCTTTATTTTTCATCTTAGGAGTCTATTATATTACTCTTTGTAACAGTATTTTTTTGTATTTTTGCATTATTTATATATATATATATATATATATTTATACAGTGCTCATCAGCATAAATGGGAACACCCCAACAGATCTGTCATAAAACCTTTATTTTCCTTTCAGAATCAACATTTTCTATGGGACACTATACCACAAAATATTCCCCCAAAAAATGGGAGCCATTGATTGCAAACAGATTTGTTAATTTTCACACACAAAAAGGTATTTTTTCGAACAAATTCATTCAAGACTATGTTGCAAAAATGAATACACCCCAATGAAAGTCTTAGGAGCAAAGCTAAATTTTAGACAATAAAATCCTAATTAACAAGGATTCAACACAGTGGCTAAATGGTTAGCACTTCCACCTGGCAATACTAGGGTCGTTGGTTCGAATCCCAACCACAGCACCACCTGTCTGGAGTTTGCATGTTCTCCCTGTGTCTGTGTGGGTTTCCCAGGTATTCAGGTTTCCTCCCACACTCCAAAGACATGCTGTTAGGTTAAGTGGCTCCTGCCTAAATTGGCCCTAGTAATGTATGTATGAAAGTAGGTTATGGACCTTAGATTGTATTATCCCTTGAGGGTTAGAGAATGATGTGAATGCAAATATATATGTATATATATGTAAAGCACTGTGTAAATTGACGGTGCTATATAAGTACCTGAAAGAAGTAAATAACTACAGGTGAGTCTAATTGTTCATTAAAAAAAGGTCCACCAGACAGTTGGATATAAAAGAGCATTACTTAACAAAGAAAACCCCTTCCCATTTTCATGCTATGTCAAAAGGCCTGAGAATGAAAATAATTTCTCTACACAAGAAAGGTGAAGGCTA